ATGAATAGACTAATTGGAAATTTTAGAACTATATGGTAAGTTTGATTAAAAATTGATTCAGTTTAATTAATTAAGTTGTGTTTAACTAGTCATATGTTCTAATTAATATATTAAGACATTCTAGCTATATAAATGTGATATACGCTCATCCTTGAGGGCATTTCTTCTCCTTTCAAGTGTAAAATTCTAAGATTACACTTTTAGAGAGAGAGAGTCACCTCCCATCTAGAGAGAAAGTGAAAGATTGAAGAAGAACTTGGAGGACAATCTTGAATAGGTCAAGATTGTTCAAGAACTAGTGCGCTTGAAGGCTCTAGATAAGAATTTAACCCTCAATTCTTAAAGATAGTGTGTTTTGAAGTTGGTTCATGGAATTAACATGATCATTTGCATTTATTCTGTTAAATGATGCCAAGAAAGTGTTGTAACTTTACATGCATGCATGAATATGTAGAATTTTATCATTTTGGGTTTGAATTCTATGATCCATTATGAAATCGCAAGTTATTTTGCAAATGCATCATTGTTTCAAAAGTTTTGAAAGCTTACTTTTATGTTTAGAAAGTCATAAAAAGAGTTTTGAAATTAATACTGACATGCATGAAGGTTTGAGTTCAATCTTGGTAAATTCATGAGGTTTCGAGCAAACGATTTATGAATGATCGTGTATTTGAGTTATCTAAGATGTTTTTATAATTATCAAAGTGTTTTCATGAGTTTGGAATAATCATGCAAGCTTCTACATGCTATAATGCATGTTTTGAGCTCAAATTCTATTTTTGAAAACTTAGAAATTCTGCAGACCGCTTGAGAGACCAAGTGGTGGCTCAAGCAAACATTGCAAGCTCCTAGTACTTTTACATCTGCATAAGTTGGCTCGAGCAACCAAATGGTAACTCGAGCGAACTGAGTATATGTATTGAGATGGCTCTAGCGACCAGAAGTTGGCTCTAGCCACCAATTCAGTTTCAGTATGTTTTCAAAAGATATTTTGAGTTCATATCTTCGTTCATATCTCTTTCTGGGCATTTTTAGGTGTGAATTATTGATTATTAAGGATTAATAAGCTAATGAACAACATAAGTAAATGATTAGAAAAGAGAAGAAAGATTTACTTAGTTTGAACATTAAGTTTCAATATGTGTATGGTTATGCGCATTGTGGAGGTTCGAGTGACCAAATGGTGGCTCAAGCGAACTGACTATATGTATTGAGATGGCTCTAGTAGCTAAAAGTTGGCTCTAGTCACCAACTTATTTTCAGCTTGTTTTCAAAAGATGTTTTGAGTTAATATCTTCTTTCTCATCTCTTTCCGGGCATTCTTAGGTGTGAATTATTGATTATTAAAGATTAATAAGCTAATAAACAACATAAGTAAATGATTAGAAAAGAGAAGAAAGATTCATTCGGTTTGAACGTTAAGTTTCAATGTGTGTATGGTTATGCGTAAGGTGTAAGTTCGAACGTTGAAGATGACCATCAGATTAATTATGTTGAGTAATGTCTTTGTAATGGTATTGTTGTATGAGCTACTTTGAAAATAGTCTTGCTATATGGCAGTCTATGAAATCTATTCTTGGTATAAGTTGCGAGATTTAACAAGATTTTTGAATAAATACTTTGAGACACAAAGTTATGCTTCAAACTCCGAATTGTGTAAAATGAGATAAGCTTTCCGAAAATGTGATTTTCTAAGAATGAATGAGTTCCTTTTGAACGACGATATGAAAATGTGCCTTGATCATTCGGTAACAACTATTTTATCTATGATCCGTAAGTGACGTTCAGTATAAGTTACTGAACCGTTGTAAACGTTCTGTATGATGTTGATCTTGATGATTGTTTTGTATGACATCGATGGTAATCATTCTGTATGGAATCTACATATATAAGATGTTCTGTATGAGCTCATCAAGTATAAGTCATCAAGTGTGATGTTTTGGATAAGCCATCAAGTGTGATGTTCTGCATTCTATATAAATCATCAGATGTGATGTTCCGCATTCTGTATAAGTCATCGGATGTGATGTTCTGCATTATATATAACTCATTAATACGATGTTCCGTCTTAACCATCTGAATGATGTTTCGTATGAGTCACCGATATGGGTGCCCCGAATGAGTCATTCTATATGAATGTTCTGTTTGGTATTTTGGCAAGTTAAATAAGGCCTTTGGGCACTTCACAATGAGTTAAGTTATGAAAGGTTTGACAAACTTTATTTGTTATTGTGTGTTTTGGAAACAAGCTTCAATTATGTCAAGAACTTTATATTATTTTGATAAGTTATGAGACTCATTCATTTAAACCCTTACATTGAGATTACTCATTGGGCTTTCAACTCACTCTGTTTATATGTATGTATGTAGGTGAGTATCAGGAAGTTCCTTATTAGAGCCTGCTTTGGAGTCAACCTTTTGTGAAGCCACTCGAGATACGTATTCGCATTGAGGCTTTAGTTTCTGTTTTGGCCAAGCTCGAGAAGCTTTCGTTTTGTACAGTCTGTTATGTTTTAAGTCTTTGAGCTTGGGTTATGTATATATATAATGAATTTTTTAAAATATTATATTGTGAAGTGTAATATATTGTGTGTGTTTATGTTCGTAGCATGTAGGCACAACTCAATGGACAAATTTGTATACCCTACTTCTGCTTCTGCCCAGTTATTAATTAAATATTTTTGTTAATTATGTCTTTGACGCCGGATAATCTGGGATTACTGGCCTGTTACGACCTAAACCTATAGGGACGAGTTTGGATTGTGACATATATTTTATAGTGATCTTATTTATGGCCCAACTATCAATACACATTAGCCAACTCCCGTCCTTATTTGGAGTTAACAAAGCTAGTATGGCTCAAGGACTTATATTCTCTCTGACTAATCCCTTTTGAGGTAACTCGTTCAGCTACTCTTGTAGAATCTCGAATTCCTTTGGGCTCGTTCGATAATGTAGCAGATTTGGTAGACTTGCCCCAAGGACCAAGTCAATCTCATGCTGGATATTTCTCATAGGTGGTAATTCTTTTAGGTAAGTGTTTGAAACTCAGACATCAAGGATCATACTTCTTCAGGTACTACATCTAGAGATGTTGCCTCATCTTCTTCCAGTTTTATGAGAACAACATAAATCTGTTGTGTTTCTTATGCTTCCTTGATGATGTCGGGTACTATAACGATCTCTTCTTTTCTTCAGGATTGGTAGCATAACCCTCACTCCTCATAGGAGCTAAAACAATCTTAATGTTGTCTTCCCAAAAAGTGTAAGTATTGTCTTTGCCTTGATGAATCATGTTCATATCAAGTTGCCAAGGTCTCCCCAATAACATATGACAAGCATCTATGTCCACAACGTCACACATCACCTCATCCTTGTAATGTTGTCCAATGGAGAAAGGAACGAGACACTGTTCCATAATGTTACATAACCCTAGTTTCACCCACATCTTTGATCCAACCGATACTGTAAAGCGAAGGATGTTTTTGCATTTTGAGTTGAAGCTTGTCCACCATATTCCTAGACATAATATTCTCGTTACTGCATCCATCAATGATCAAATCACAAACTCGTTAGTTGACAATACAACGTGTTTTGAAGATATTATGCCTTTGGACATCCTCCTTTCGTGGTGTATACATTAATCTCCGCACTACAAGAGAGATATCCTCATCCTCATGTGTCCATTTTGTTAGATCTTCTTGCTCAAAATCTTTTTCTCCTAAATACTCTCCATCTTCTTCGTCTTGTTAGGTGCCTTTTCGGGCAACCATTCGAATCGTGGCCAACTTGCCCACAACGATAGCACTTGTCACCTTAGGGAGGAACATACAAATTACTCTTATTTTGAAAGGGTCTTGTCCCTTGTCTAGAGTTATATTGATTTTGGGCTGTAGCTTTGGCTAGATTCTGTTCAACTTTTGTTGGCTTTGTTACAAGTTACAACCTTCCCTATAATGTACTCTGTCTCATCCTGATTTGAGTTGGAATTGACGCGCCGAGTAGGAAACTGAGTTCGGTTTCCTCATCGAATCTGTTGCAACTCTACTCGTGTTCCTAATTAAATTGTGTCTTTTAACGTACGAATAAGTTATAGGGCAATTTGATCTTGTATGTTGCTTCGTAGTCCATCTATGAATCTCAAAACTAACTGCCCTTCTGTTTCTGGTAAATCATTGTGAGCAGAAAGTCGTTGAAACTCGAAAACGTAATCATAAACCGACCTTGTACCTTGGTGGCATCTTTGATATTGTCGGAATAAAATCTGATCATAATCTGGAGGAAGAAATCGCGACCTCATCAGTTGCTTCATTTGATGCCATGTTCGGATCTTGCTTTTATTCATTTGAATGCGTGATATTCGCAGTTGTTACCACCAAGCAGAAGCGCCTCCTTTGAGTTTATATGCAACCAATTTGACTTTTTGTTCCTCCTCAATGCCCATGTACTCGAAGAATCGTTCGACTTCGTTAAGCCAATCAAGGAAATCCTCTATGCTCAACTGACCGTCGAAAGAAGGCAATTCCATCTTCACACGAAAATCATTATTTTGATTCTGATTGTGATTCTGACCTGCTTCTGCTCTTCTAGGTTCCCCCATCAGAGCTATGTCTTCCATCTCTTCATCAGTTGAATGACCATCATCGTTAGGGTTAATCATAGCACACCTAGGGTTGTCCCTTATTCGTCCAGGATTATTCACTACCCTTGGCTTGCGGACTACTTCTATTTGTTGGGTGTCATTCACGTCACAATAGATCTGCCATCATGTCTTCTAGATTCTGGACTGACTGCTGCAAGTGTCTGAACGTCGTCATGGTTACGAACTGCCCCTCAGGTTGCGAGCGGATCCTCTAGAGTAACTCTCTAGAGTGATCCTCTAGAGTGGATGATCCGACGGCTGTGGTTAAGCCTCACCAAAACGACGTCGTTTTGGGGAGGAATTTCAAAAAAAAAAAAAAAAAAAAAAAAAAAAAAAAAATCTGATTTCAAAACATGGAAATGCAGATCTGAAATTATAGAGAGAGAGAGAGAGAAAGGCTCACCTTCCAGGCTTGATGATTCCACTAACATCATGAAGGATTGATAATGGTTTCTTCCTACTTGGAATCACATGGAGGTAATTCAAGAACCCCTTTTAAAACAGAGAGAAACAGAGAGAGAAAACAGGCTTAGTTCAATTTACAAATTACAACACAGATATGAACATGTTTATGTGATCTAATTGAGAAAACTCACCTCAAAAAGATTAATGGAAAAGTTCAGAATTGTTGAAAGTGCTCTACCACCAACATAAGCTTCTGCATCGACATTCAAATGCTCGAACCGGACTTCAATGGTGGGAAGATCAATCCCAACTCTGTAAAAATCAGAAAAACAGAGACACAAAAATAAATGTGCTTCAAACACGATTACATCAACAACCCAGATCTATTTACAATCATAAAATCCCAAAAAAAAGAAGAAAAAATTGAGATTACCTGTCAATGCGTTTCTTGAGCTTCAACAAGAACTTCTCATTGTCATCCTCTGCGATTTTCACGAGCCTCGGTGGCGAGTCGGAAACTCTCAGCCTCTCTCTCTCTCTCTCTCTAATTTCAGATCTGCATTTCCATAGAGTAATCGTTGTTTTCAAATCCCTAAATCTGTTTTTTTTTTTTTTTTTTTTTAAATTTCTCACCAACAATGCTAGGTATCATGAAAAGTCTTTCATGAAAATGGTCATGAAAAATTTGTGACCTTTGGATTACACTTACAATAAAGCACCACACACTAATCAAGATAATCTAAAGGTATGACAAAATTTTCATGATCTCTAACATTTCTCTTAAAAAAAAGGGACAAAGACCTAATCAATACTTTTTTTTTTCTTGAAATCTCACAGCGCACACACTCTCTCACTAAGACCAACCCAAGCTTCATCTTCTTTGAAGAAGCTCTATATCTGTAATACCACAGGGCCATTTCGCTTGCCCACTGCTCGTTGGTACAACTCCGGGCGCCGTCATCATCGTCGAAGGCCCACACCACTATGTACGCCGTCTGTTGCCACAGCTTCGGATATCATTAACATCGCATCTCGGCCACTGGTTCACGCTTACACCAGCTCCACCTCATTTCAGTGCTTCACGTTCTCCACCTATAACTTCACCATCGTCTTCAGCCGTGATCTGGCCAACGCCGACCACGCCCGCCTTTTCAACGCGGCGTCAGTCTGCCCAGCTACTCTGCCGCTTGCACACCGCCTGCTACCGCCAACCACAGCCTAGGGACGTAGCAACGCAACCCTCTCCGTCGCGGCCTTGCCTGTGCTGGCCCTATGCATGCTGCTCGCGTCTTGCGCCGCTGATCTAGTCAACTGAGTGATGTCGGCTCACGTGTGCCTTGTTCGCACATCAGCCCTGGCCCTGTCATCACTCGATGTCGTCGTAACTGCTGCGTCTCTGCCCTCCAGCGCCGCTCGTGTCACCGTCGATCCGTCGTCCCGTCGTTGTAGCCTCGACTACTGCAAACGCTGTGACCCGAGTTGCTGTTAGCTCACACCGACACCAGCTCTACGTCATCGTCGGTGCTTCATTTCGGCCTAGCAACGCGACTTTTTAGAACTTCAAATAAACCAGAGCTTTGTCTGTTTGCTCACTGCCCGCTGCTGCAACTCCGGGATCTGTCATGTGAGCGCGACCAATCAACTCACGCGTCTTGTGTGCTTCGCTTCTGACACTTGGTGACTTTCGACATCAGCACCGGCCTAATCTCCTTTAGCGTTTCGGCCTAGGGACACCATCTCTCAGCCCGTCGGCCCATCTTCGGCTTCAATCACGTTGCTTCTATGAGTGCCATTCTTAGCCTTAGTTCATTCCGACGCTGCCCCCTCCTATCTTTCTTGGTCGGGATCGGCCTTAGCTTGCCGATTTCTGTTTGTGCAGGTTCAACCCCTCCCCAAGCTAGCTTCATATATTTTTCTTTTGCTTATGTAAGTCAGTGGGTAAATGCTTAAAACCCTCTTTTCTTTTCTTGTATTATTTTATCTTTCTTTATGCTTTGAGCTTTTGATTTGTTGATCTTGACATTTGTGACTTTGGAGCTGGAACTGGAATGCTTAATTTGTATAAAATCCAATGTTTGTGAGATCAAAATTTGAAACCCTCTTGCTAAGAGGGAGAGCAATATTGATGTTGTAGAGCTCATAATCACACTCTCACATTTTGTCTAATGCTTTGAGGATCTGTAATTCTGATGAACCTTACACTCTGATGAACTCTGAATTTTTGAACTTCAGTGGAAATTTTATTTGGATCTTGAATCCTGTGATTTTTTTGTCTTGAAATAGATAGTGCTCCTTGTTGAATCTTGAACCTGTGTCGATAATCTTGACCGACATAAAGTTCTGATGTTGAAAATGAAGTATTGGTGTTGCCATTGAAAATTTTGTTAGACTTGCTCGTCTTGAGATTTGTAGAGCAAAATACAATAAATGTTGTTGCAAGTGAAACCCGAGGAAATGAGCCCCTCATATTGTATATAAATCTTGTTGTTGAATAATTAATTATTGTCTTGTTGATCTTGTGGATGCTTGGGAAATAAATAATTGATGTCGCCTCTATTTCGGTAATGTTTGAATCATAATCTGAACTCGATATTGTTTGTCTAATTTGTCGGCTTTACTGTTTCAGGCAAATAAACTTTTGTGCGAACTCCACGACCCCGGGGCCCTCAGAACCCGTACTAATGAGAGCAAGGGCTATCATTCGGAAGTTTGAACGAGAGCAAAACTGTCCCTCAGGAGTCCGAAAGTAGCATACACCCTACTTTAGCAAGAAAGCTCCATCTGGAAGGCAACTGAGTCTACCAAGCTTACACCAACAGAAGTAAAGATTGTCTCTCAGAAGTCCGAGCAGAAGCAAGGCTGTCTCTCAAAAGTTCGAGTGGAAACAAGGCTCTCTCTCAGAAGTCCGAGCGGAAACAAGGCTCTCCCTCGAAAGTCTAAGTGGATGCGCACTTCTATTTCGGTAGCTAATGGAAGCAAAGGCTATCCCTCGGGAGTTCAAGTAGGAGTTCACTCTACTTTGAAAATAAAAGATCCTCGGAGCTCGTATTGATGAAAGCAATGGCTGTTCTTCGGACCCGTAC